TTCACTGTTACTGTTATGTCCTTACAAATGGAGTCCTGCCTTCTGTATTCCTGCAAAATATTGCATACAGACGAGCAAATAATCATATTGACCAGTATTTTATCAATTGGTTGTGTGTTAGCCATTAAAAGTACCTCATCTGAAGGAGGTGTTTTAGTTGCAGGTGGCATTCTATGCATGGATGGTGTTTTATCTAGAATTATCATTTTTTATCTTGGGTGGTGCTTTATCCACAGATGGTTCTTTCTGCCTGAGAGGTACTTTATGAACTGATGTAACTTTATCTGCAGATAGGAAGGGAGGATTTCCCTGATCTGGGTTTAACACTTTAATTTGCGCATCTGAAAACTCCTTTAACACGGAATCAATCGGTTTCATAGCTGCCTCATAGAGCTCATCTTGATTTACATCACTGGTTACATTTCAACATGCATCATCTGTGTCCGGTGAGGAAGAAAAATCAATTTGTTAACTATTTCAGAGATAACTTCTTCTAAAAATTTGGCTGACAAAATCCCAGGGTTATTTTCTGGTGGATTTTGAGAACTGTCTGGTTTACTAGGTTTACTTTTAATTTCTTTATCTTTACTTTTATCATTCTCTTCCTCAGTTGCACGAACATTTTGGTTAGCTGAATTTGTTGAAGCAGGCTGTGCAGAATCCTTACCATCCACCTGAGTTACATCTGCTGCATCATCTTCTAGGGTCTTTGGGATTCTGAATCACCTATTTGTCCTTAAAAAGAAGATATTTCTAAATATCTCTGTAAACGCTGTCAGTGACATTTTGGACATGTTCAGAATGCAAGATTTGCTTATCCGTAACTCTTTAAGCTGGAGAATCTCTCTTCTCTTGGATCTATTTTTCACCTTGATTTTCAGAGATGGTAATTTAAGAGGTACGTTCCCTTTTTCTAATGAACTTTCTCTTTTTTTATCACTCTTCCTTCTTATCATCTATTTTAATATCTAGTTCCAGTCCAATGTTCTTGTGTTTTGTGTTATTGGTACCTGGTGAAAAATGTTGGTATACCTTCTTATCTAGCTCTTTTTCTAGCTGAATTGTCTTTCTTCTTGATTTCATCCTTTGTATGTGCTATAATCAAATCTGGAAAAGTTGTTGAAATAACTTTTGATACCTTTCTACTATCTTCTCTAATTGAACTTCCCCCTTTCTTATACTCCTCTTTCTTTTTATCGACCACACCTCCAGCTAACCCTAATGCTAGGGTAGTTACTTTGCTGCTCATAATGCTAGTTATAGTGGTACATATTGGCTCATGAATGGTGCCTTTTTTCATTGATGTCTCCTTCTTTTTGAAACCTTCCTTTTAATTAAATACTTATCTACCTATTTCCAAAGTGTCCTTTTTTTTTTTTTTTCAGGCCTGATGTAGATGGCTGAACAAATTGGATTCTTGATATGGTTTGGATATGTGTCCCTGCCCAAATTTCATGTCGAATTGTAATCCCCAGTGTTGGAGATGGGACCCGGTGGGCCCCATCTTTGGAATTGGATCATCTTTGAATTCTTTGGACCATAGGGGCAGAGTTCTCATGATTGGTTTAGCACCAACCCTTTGGTGCTGTTCTCGTGATAGAGTTCTCGTGAGATCTGGTTGTTTAAAAGTGTGAAGCACCTCCCTCCCCCTAGCCCCTTTGCTCCTGCTCCTGCCATATAAGATGCCTGCTCCTGCTTTGCCTTCCGCCTGAAGGAATGAATAAAAGCTCCCTGAGGCCTCCCCAGAAGCATATGCTGGCACAATGCTTCCTTCACAGCCTGCAGAACCATGGGCCAATTAAACCTCTTTTCTTCATAAATCACCCAGTTTCACATACTTCTTTATAACAGTGTGAGAATGAACTAATAGAGTTCCCCTTTAAACTTCTATTTATCTTTTTAAAGGTTTTATATGGCAGGCTTTGAATTCTTTGGATAATGTTATCCACATCTACAAATGAAAAGAAGGTGGAAGACCAGTCTCCTGAATAAAACAGTTGAAGTTTGAAAGCAGAGATCACCTTTTTGGCTAAAGTAGCAATAAACTCTATAACAATGTTACTTCTGTCTTTTTTCCCAATATTGTTAGATCCATATATTTCTACGACTTCATCATACACAGAATCAGACACTTTATCAACTGTCTCTTTATCCATTGGTGGAAAAAAAACATTTCTTCAGCATTTATTAGAATTTTAATTTCACTTTTCCTAAATTCTCCCAATTGGGTCATTTGTAAAATTTATAGCATGCCCACGAGGTTTTATCCCGATATTTCTTTGTCCTTAGCATTTTCAGAAATACTTTGGAGAGTATAAAACTTGCAAACAAGGTCAATGATAACATCTTCCAGAAATGTAGCAGAATACACAGAAGACTGTGGTAGGGACAGTGCTTTTTCATTAGCAGGATTCAAGAATTCAGTGACATGGTCATTTTCATGTGAGTCGCTGGAAGATGCTTCTTCATCACATAAAAATGTCTGCACATGGTGATCTATAATTTCCTTCATAATAAAACCAGCTATTCTCCCAAGGAATGAGCCTTCTTTTTGCATGTATTGTTCTATGCTTCAGCTTGGAATTTATTTTTTTTCCATAATGTTGTTATATATGAAATCAAAGAAGTTCTCAATTGCCCCTAATTACATGCTTTCTGTGTGCTCCTCTGCAAGGACAAGTCTAATCTCACGTTCAGAAATTTCTAATTTCACCAGTCAGTTCTGAAACTGCATCAACAAACTCATACTTTGGCGGCACCTCTCCCTCTTTTAGTCCAATTTCTCTCAGATAAAGGGAATATACATGCTGGAAGCACGTAAATCATGTCTTCTAAAAGAGAATGAAGCAAAACAGAGATGCATGAAGGCAAGAGATGGTTATCATCATTGATGATGTTGAGTACGTTTCTGATGATAGTCTTAACTTGGAGAGTGCAGTAAGAAGACATTAATAATTTTCCTGAAACTAACGACTCTACCTGATAATCATAAATTTATTCTTATAGCAAGCAATGTTTTTCATCCAAAACCAATGACATCATTTTGTGTAGCCCTATATATATGAATCAGAGACATAATCATTGAATATTTTTCATAAATTAGGTTGATGACATTTTTTGGGCTGTTTCTTTATATTCTTCTGAAAAATACAGATTTTCATCCTACTTGTCTGTACATAAAATTCGTGATGTGGTGAACTTCAGCACAGTTGATTTTACTAATGTTGTTACAATATCAGTAATGTTGGCTTTTGCTTTATGTGGATTCTGGCCACCAGATATTATGTGAGAATACATAAAAGATTTTGCATAAAAGCCCAGAAATTACTTCCTCCGAAAAGACAGCTGAATTCACAATGAAGGACAAGTCTCTTTGTTTAGGATCTCTTGCTCTTTGATTATGAGTTTGATCAACAGTATAAAGAAAAAGTTTTATCTCCAGATAAAAATGACTGAATATGATGGTTAAATATTTCTTTTATTATATAACTTGCTATTTTTGTAACAGGTATATTACTTATGTGTTTTTATCTTTTGTAAGAGACTGGTATAGATTTGAATGAAAAATATCACTATAAATGGCATCAACCATAGCCTGAGCATCATTTTCTGAAATCACATTTTGTTCTTCATTTCCATATTTAATAAAGCATATTGTGTGTTTAGAAATTATTGACATGATTTCATCAGTCAGTCTCATGACTTACTGAAGTCTCATCATGAAAGTTCTGGGTCTTCTGTACTGAAGTCCAATAAACTTATCTGAGATAAAACTTGAGTGACTATTTTTTCTGAATGTGTACATGATAATACAGTGGTATATGTTGTACACATCTATCTTCAGAATATTTATTTACTAATATCATAGTGAACTCTCTTTACCAAATCATCAGCATTGAGTTTTGAATATGATTTTTTTTTTTTTTTTTTAAGACAGAGTCTCCTGTCACCCTGGCTGGAGTGCAGTGGTGCCTTCTCGACTCACCACAGCCTCTGCCTTCTGGACTCAAGCAATCCTCCCACCTCAGCCTCCCAGACTAGCTGGGACCACAGATATGCACCACCACGTCCGGTTAATTTTTGTATTTTTAGTAGAGACAGGTCTTTCGCCATGTTGCCAAGGCTGGTCTCGAACTCCTGGCCTCAAGCCATCCACCCACCTTGGCCTCCCAAAGTGCTAGGATTGCAGGCGTGAGCCACGGCACCCAGCCTTGAATATGATTTAAAAGGCAGTTTTGGTATGACATCTGGATGAATTTGGAAATCAGAAACTTCAACCAGGATAATTTTAGTTACCCTCTCAGCCAATGTCTTTGTGTCACTGAGAAAATCTTTATCAGGTAGTTAGTTGTTCCTGTTCATATCCTTGTAAAACTTTGTTATTTACCACATCAGAAATTTTGACAATTACATATCTACTGGGGGCAAACACAATTGTTCCTTAGTATTTTCTAGGATGCTAACCTGGACTTTTGAAAATTCTTCTGTTATCAAATATATTATTACTTCAGCTGTCTCCAAAAGTTCTTTTTCTGAATCTCTTACTTATTTTGTTTGCACAATGCCTAACACTCTATGGAACATTTTGCTTAAAACTCCAGAGGTCATGTCTTCCAAGAAGTCTGAGAAGTAAACACCAGTAGAAAAACTGTTGCCTTCTTGCCTCATCAAAATATGTATATTATGAAGGAAGTAATAAATTTCCATATACAAATGGATAAAGATGTCGACAGATATTTCTAATGATAAAATCTGCCATTCTATCAATAGAAACATTGTTACTGCTTGTGATATCATGTTCAGCTGCTTCCTGAGACCCAGAGTTTTACAAAATATTTCTAAATACTGAATCAATGAGATGCTGAGCATCATCCTCTGAATAAACAGAGTTGGTTTCTTCTCCATCTTTTGAAACTCTAATTCCATGTTGGAAAATTTTCATCTTAGTATCACTAATTAGTTTTGGAGATTTCATTGAAATTTATTCCTGATCTGGAATATCACTGCATGGAAGCAAGCTACATGCAGAAGAAAATATTCTGGATAACAGTGCTTTGATTATGTCTTCTAAAAATGTGTATGGCAGTAAGGTGTTATACAGAGATAAATGCTGCCTTGACTTCGTAGATTTACTAATGGCACTAAAGATGTTCTGAATAATATTCTCTGTTGCTAAAGTAGCATAGGAAGCTGACAAATCCCCAGAAAACAGTTGACGAAAAAGATAAACATAAATAGCTGCCACAATTAAATTGGTAATATCTTCTGCAAAAATATTACTGTCTTTTTGGTAATATCTTCTGCAAAAATGTCACTGTATTTTTGGTAACATCTTATGCAAAAATATCGCTGTCTTTGAGTTCTTTATTATCAACCTCAAGGGCCAGCCCATGCTGTTTCAGAACATTCTTATAAGCTGAATTGATAGGTTCATCCACAGTGTCTGTGTCTACAATGGGAGAGGATTGCTCTTGGTAATCACAAAAGATGCAAATTTTAGCTTTGTTGAAATTGTTATTTATTGAATTTACTATTTTTGGATCATTTTATCCAGTTCATGCTCAGTGTTATAGCTCAGGTTGAAGACCTTTGATAAAAGCCTTACAACAATTTTTCCTACAAATGTGTGAGGGTAAAAACCTATAGCCAGTGGTGATGGGGTCTTCTGGGGTCTGCGTGACTCTGTGACTTCACTGAGAGCCTCTTTAACCAAATTGGATATTTCATCCAATGGAGCCTTTGGACAGGGTAAGCCCTCTCCACACAAAAAGGATTGAATGATTTTCAATAATCTTGACTAGTAAGACTGGCTGTCTGGTCAACCATAATTTGGCTTTGGCCTACTGTAACTTTTCTGTATTGACACAAGAGAGCCAAACATCTGCAAAATATTATCATAAACAGATTCCACTATATTTTGGAAGTTTTTTTCTATACATAGATACTGACGATCATATTTAGTAAGCCAAACCTTATGCTTTGAAAATGGCTAACATAACTTTATTTATTATACAGGTGGATTTATCATTAAAATCTGAAGTCATTAAATAGTTCCTTCCCAAGCATGAAGTCTTGCTGGATAGAGAAATGAGTGGAGATAATAGCCTCCTGATGACATCTTCCAAAATGAGTGTGATAACATGGTAATGTAGCATGTTGAATGTTGAACTTGGTAATTAAGTTATTTCAGGTTATTCTGAAATTTCTGCAGTATATTTTCAACTTTGGGAGAGTAATATGAATTAGGCATGAACCTTTCTACAAAACACAATGGGAGTTGCTAGTCTAAAATCTCTATCAATATGCCATTAGTTATCTGCTCTGCTACTGGGATGATAGTGTGTGCCACATGATTACCACAAGTCACTTGCAATTTATATTCCCATAAAGCATCGTTATAAACTGAGTCAACAATCTTATGAGCTTTTTTTTTTTTTTTTTTTTGAGACCAAGGCTTACTCTGTCACCCTGGTTAGAGTGCAGTGAGTGGCGCGATCTCAGCTCACTGCAACCTCCACCTCCCAGGTTCAAGCGATTCTCCTGCCTCAGCCTCCCGAGTAGATGGGACCACAGGCACACACCACCATGCTCAGCCAATTTTTGTATTTTTAGTAGAGATGGGGTTTCACCATGTTGGCCAGGCTGTAGACTAGTTGGAAACATATCATTTCTTCAACACCCTATAAAACAGTGACTTAAGCATTATTAAACTCTTACCATGGAGTAAACACCTAATATACTCACCTCATTGAACTGGGCCTCAGTGATACTTATATTTTTCCCCAAAATGAAGTATAGAGATTAAGAAAAATGCCTACAATTATTTCCTCCAAAAATGTGGCAGAGTAAACTCCTGTGTTCATGCCTCCTAGATGTTGCATGCTATGAATGGCTGCTACATTTATTGCTTTTTTCCTGGTCTCCAAAGAGGAGGTAGACAAGAGGGTTTTCTTGGAAGTTGCTTACCAAATGGGGCTTCTATTTTGGAACAGATAGCTCTGAGAGTATCCAATGCCGCCTTCAAAGGCTTGCTGTCATAACTCATGAAACTTATAGAGCCTTTTCCCTATCTTGATTCTTTTAATTCTGGACTTTTTGCTTTTGGGAAATTAGAAAGTCTCCTTTTCCTATATGCAAAGAATGCAAAGGATGGACATCTTAGAGGTTGCTGGACATGGTGTGACGGTTTTTCCATTAAGGATTTTACGAAACTATGGGAAATAAAACTAATCTTGTATTCTTGATTGATTTCCTCCAGATTTTCCAAAAGTTCTTGTATTAGGTCATTTTTGCATTGCTGTAAAGAAATACTTGAGGCTGATTAATTTACAAAGAAAAGAGTTTTGGTTGGCTTATGTTTCGGCAGACAGTACAAGAATGGTGTCAGCATCTGCTTCTGGGGAGGGCTTCAGAATGCTTACAATCTTGATGGAAGGCAAAGGGGGAACAGGCATCTTACATGGGGAGAGCATGAACAAGAGAGAGGGGGAGATGCATACACTTTTAACAGATCTTGTGAGAACTCTCTCGCTAACCTGAGGACAACACTAAGCTATTCATGAGTGATCCTCCCCCATGATCTAAACACCTCCCACCAGGCCCCGCCTCCAAAATTGATTCATTGTTTTCCTGCAATAACCAAATCCTTCTTCCTCTATATTTTGAAGTACATTGAACAGTTGACATTCTGCTGACATTTCATCAGAAAGAGGGTTATTTGTAAGAGAGTCGTTGGTTGTGCATTCTCATAAAAGCATTCTAATAAGCTTCTTGCACACAAATTTCAGATGAAAAACTGATTTGGGGGAGAGCCCTAGATTATTTCTAGGTATGCAATGACTTTGCTGATTACTTGGAGACCGGAACATTTTCATTGCTATTTTACCAGAATCCATATCCCAATTTGGGCATTCATCTGGCAAAACCAAATTTAAAACAATATTTAAATTTTTATTGACTACTTTAAATTCACAGTTTTTTAGGCTACCAACCAGAGTGCCTAAATTACATGCCAGAGAATTTAGTTTATTTTTCTGCATGAGTTTATCAATTTGGGCAATAGGAGCTGATTTCCAGTCTCTGGAGTCTGCTTGTCTTTTTATAGTTTTGCTTTTGTTGCAGTTGGCCAAATTAGGGCTTCTAGGCAAAGGAAGTGATCTGTTTCTTCCATTGCCGTAAGTCTGATGATTTATTCCTATTTCTTTGGACAGAACATGGATGACTCCTATTAAGAGTTCCCGAAGGAGATCATCAAAGTCACAGTCACAGCCACTCTTGGGCAGTAAATATATTTTGTTTTTACAGAAACCATTTATTGGGTAATGTCTGCTTTTAAAATGTCACTATTAAACAGGATTCAAATACTGATTTCAGAAATGCTTAAAGCAAGTTCTCTGATAGAAATTGACTGACTCTCCAACACGTTGGAATGAACTAAAATAACCTTGTTAAAAGCTGCATCTTGACTTTCCAGTGTTTTTTGTTTTGACCCACTGTCTTCGGTACAATCAGACATTCTGGAAATTATACAGGAAATAAACAATTCAGTGATATGTTCACAGAATCAGATAAAGGAAGAATTGATGTTTATGCTTTGTGGAGGCTGTTTTGATTCATATTTTTTTCCTTAACAGTGTGGAAACAATAGATACTTTTTCATTATGAGGACCTTAAAACAGAAAACATTGCTATTTTTTTTTAACATGCATTCAGGAAAAATATTGACCATTCAAAATACTGACAACATTTTGTATGTGAATTTCATCTTGGGTGCACCTCACTCAAGAAATAGGAAAACCTAGTTGAGAAAGGAACTGGGTTCTCTTCATGTCTCTATTTCCTATCTATGGAATCCCACTTCAGCAAGGAAGTTAAGAAGGTAGCCCAGCAGAACTCAAATCTCTAAGTGCTGGTTTCTTCCTTGAATAGCTATGTTGCTTTAAGAAGCTGGAAATCCTAGGGCAGAGAAATAATTTCTAGTTTTACTGTTGCAATGCTCTAGTAGGATTCTAGTGATCTCTAAAGGTCTCATATAATTCTTGAAAAAATTTTCAGCTATTCAGCTAATTATACAATTTAGCATATATTAAATTGAACTGAATGAAATTGCTAATGTTCAACAGTTTTTGACATACAAAAATGGCTATTTCTTATGGTTCACTCCAATACATGTATGTAAGCATTCACAGAAAGGGAGTGCAAATAGAGTCTTTGTAAGCATGGACTTAAAGTATAACCACATCAAACCAATCCGGTTCAACTTTTATGTATAAAGATGTGAGTTGTTTTTCAGTTATCATGGGTCCCCCAGGTTGAAGGTCACATAACCTGAGCGTGCCCAGATGAATCACCTGTGTAACCACAGGGGGAACTGAAGTACTTGGACAGAAGGGTGGGGACAGAATTAGAAGTGAACACCACATGGCAGGATCCAGGATCCAATCAGATTGAGCTATGGCATCACCCCATGGCAGGATCCAGTCAGATCACGCCTCCAAGCTCCAACATATTGCAAGATCCGATCATATCACACCTCATTACCCTATGCTTATAATGCCTCCATCCCCACCCTCAGCCCCCAGCTTGGGGAGACAGATTTATGGATTTCTTACTACCTCCTTGCCAGTCAACTCAGAATAAAGCTGATTTATTTTTTCTTAAAAGCTAGGGCCAAGGTATTGATCTCTATGTATATTGGGCAGCAAGCCCATTTATTACTAGGTAACAAAAGTATTATAGCTAAAAAGAATTTGTCAGATGCCAGAACAGGAGCAGAACAAGAAATTTAATTCCACTGTTCTTACAAACTGTCAATAATAATGCTAACAACTTAACTATATACTTCAAAAAAACTTGAATCATTACTTTGCCATCAATTACCTATACATGAGGTCTGACTATGATGTAAGAAGTCTTTTGTAAAGAACCTAAAAAATCCTCTTGTAATTTCTTTTTGGAAATTGCCTTTACACCAGTTGTATGTACCACACAAGGAAACTGATCTCATCATTTCATATTCACACCTCATGCCCAACCTAAATCTTCTGCTTTAAACTATGCCTATTTAGGGCGTGTTGGCTCATGCCTGTAATCCTAGCACTTTGGAAGGCCGAGACAGGTGGATCACCTGAGGTCAGGAGTTTGAGACCAGCCTGACCAATATGGTGAAACCCCATCTCTACTAAAAATACAAAAATTAGCTAGGCATGGTGGCAGGTGCCTGTAATCCCAGCTACTTGGGAGGCTGAGGCAGGAGAATTGCTTGAATCTGGGAGGCGGAGGTTGCAGTGAGCCAAGATGGCGCCACTGCACTCCAGCCTGGGTGACAGAGTGAGACTCCGTCTCAAATATATATATACCCATTTAATCTTATCTGTGGAAAAGGAAAACTGAACAACATCTCTCCAAATAAAAATTATGTAAATGCAACACATTTTATTCTTTAGGATACTGACCAGTTGAAAAACACAAAACTATTATCGATAAACAGCCACTTCAAATCCAAGGCTGTTTTCAGAGAAGCAGAAAATACAGCTTCTTGAGGTGAGGGTAAAAACAAAATTCCTAAAATTATCATTGATTTTTCTTCTAAAGTTATACCAACTTTTTATAAATCATCTTTCACTTACCTCTGGTTTCAAAGTTCTTAAAATTTGTGACCATAGATGTAGCAACATATCTTGCTACTAGATGGATTTCATTTGGTCCCAGTTTCTGTTCCATAAAAGCAATGACTTGAACCTCTTCAAAAGTTGCATTTTTTTTTTAACCTTGGGGACTTGTTTTTCCACTTTTTCAATAAAATTAAATCTCCACTTGCTTCAAGGTTGGGTTTTCTTTTCTTCTGGCTTTATAGCTGATTATTTTTCCAAATATTTTAAGCATGCTTTTTCCCATCCTTTTGTTCTTCAGACATCACAGACAAAACCTTTTCCTTTGATACCAAAAAAGGCTTCCTTGTCTCCATACTTTCATTAGTGTGTGTGGGTGAACCTGGAAGACCATAACTCAACAACATAGTGTTGATGATATTTTCTGCAGCTAAACATATTTTGAGTGGAGGAATGGTTGTCTGTATTTGGTTTGAGTGAAGTACTCTTTGATTTTCACCTCCTTCCATTCCCCTGAAGGACATGGCGTGCTCTAGTGCTGATTGTGCAGAGACACCGGATTTTTGAGATAGTTTCTGCAAAAGACTGACTTTAGGGAGATGGCTGTTTCTTCTTATAGCTTGATCAAAATTCCTGATGTCTTAGACATCACTTCTACAATATGATGGTTTAAGCTCTAATTCAAGCCTTTCCATTGCACTGGTGGTTTTAGTTGTATCTCTTGCAGAATATCTGACATATGAAGGTAGATTTGAGGAAGCCCTGTCTTTTCTTTTCATATCTTCCTCTGAATAAAAACCAAGCCAGTGATTTGTAGAGGATCATCCCTGCTGATAACTCCTTTTAACTTTGAAGTGAGCATTTCCATTCTGTTTGTGAATTCAGCCCAATTAACAGTGTAAGCGCTTTCATTTCCTTGAGGCAGATTTTCCTTTGGATAGGTTTTGATCAATGACTCATAGAAACGAGTACACTGCTCTATAAATGTTCTGATGATCTGATTTGTTATAGTGTTTTTTTCAAATGCGCTAATTGAAGGTGGTTACACTTGGCATTTTACTTTGTCTATCTTGTTCTTAATTATACCAATCATATAATGGCAGTATTAGTAAGCAATTCTGAATGGAATGAATGAAACTATTGAAGGATATCCTGTATGTTTTCCTGGGAAATTACAGTATTTGATTTAGATTCATCAGGAAACTTATGCAGTGGTTGTAATTTAGGGAATATTTTTTCATTGATGATTTTTGTTGGACAGCAAAAAAGTTTTCAATAGGCATTTTCACAATTTCAGAGAAAGCATATGTAGAAACATGCTTAAACGGTATGTCTGCAAATGACTCTAAGGTGTTTATAACTCCCTGGATGATCTTTTCAGCGAGTCAGTGGCTGGAGAGCAAACAAATTTTGTCTTTTAATGTTGTTTTATGGATTGATACATTGGTGATGTTGTTTGTTCTTACCAGAGCTTGCCTTTTGCTTGAGTTTCTTCAGTATCTGTTATGAACAGCAAAGTCAAGAAGCATAACTCTAATTTTTCAAACAACATTTCAACAATTTCTTGGCCAACTATGCCAATCTGTGTTTGGAAATCCTCAGCTCTAGTAGAAGCTCTTTTAAAATTATGGTGGGTTGGGGCCGGGCGCAGTGGCTCACGCCTGTAATCGCAGCACTTGGGAGGCGGAGGTGGGTGGATCACCTGAGATTGGGACTTCGAGACCAGCCTGTCCAACATGGAGAAACCCCATCTCTACTAAAAATACAAAATTAGCCGGGCTTGGTGGTGCATGCCTGTAATCCCAGCTGCTTGGGAGGCTGAGGCAGGAGAATCACTTGAACCCGGGAGACAGAGGTTGTGGTGAGCCATGATCATGCCATTGCACTCCAGCCTGGGCAACAAGAGCGAAACTCCACTTCAAAAAAAAAAAAAAAAAAAAATTATGGTAGGTCGAGCAGAGTGGCTCATGCCTGTAATCCTAGCACTTTGGGAGGCCGAAGTGGAAAGATCACTTAAGCCCAGGAGTTTCAGGCCAGCCTAGACAACATAGTGAGACCCTATCTCTAAAACAAATTTTTAAAAATAAAATAAAATAAGATAAAATAAAATAAAATAAAATTATGGTATCTGTTTTTACAAGCCTCAAGAGGTAACAAAGTTAAAAGTGAAAGACTGCTCTAATTTTTTGCTTTTAATAAAATTTCATTCAAAACAGTCTCAGCTATCATCAATAGCTTACATTTTTCATTGTCCTTGTCACTTGATTCTGTTTACCATTATCAAACATTTGTTGAAAAATATCTTCTTTAGGAAAAATTTTCTCCAGCTGCAAAGAGACATCCTCTAAAGAAAAACGTGCTTCCGGATTTGCAAGAGAGATTGTACTTAAATTCTGCTGTGAAAGTTTGAGGTTATCTGGATGTGAGCCATTTATTGGGTGAGTCAAATTGTTCTTGCTTACATTTAATCCTTGCAAAACTATATCAACTTCACTTTGCTGTCACAAGTTGATCAGAAGGTAAAGCTTTTACATTTACTATTCTACTTTGTGTCACCATTTGAAATTCATTCACAGTTGTTTCCAGAATATTACGTACTTCATCATTGGCATACATTTTTAGTTTCATGGAGGGAAGTTTTGTTTTCACTAAGGGGTTTTTGGCATCCTCTGTTGACAGCAGGTATTGCAGCCCAATGGCAGTCTAGGACCAGCTGCCTTTTGGAGTCTTCTCTTCAGGACCTAACTGGGTTTTGCTTTTGGCCTTAACACTACTAGGCCCTAGCTGTGTTTTTTCCCGCCAAAATTAGAGCAAATAAATAGCTTTTGGTTTTGTTTCAATTTTTTAAATCTAAAACCTGGTCTAGGGGTACCCTTAGGACCAGCTTTAGAATGCATGGCCTCAGAGATCACATTTCATCAGACTGACCTTTAGGGAATAAACTCACTTCTAGATTCAGCAAAGCAAAATTTGTGATCTTTTTGAGAACATTTTGAACCAATTCCCCCACTTGTAATGGAGAAAATTGCAATAATGTGGTTTCCAATGAAGTGATACTTCTAATGCCTGTGAAAGAATAAATTGGCAGCATCATATGTTCAGGAGGAAGACTTTTTTTCCTGCTTATTTAAATCCCCTAAAGTGTGATAGATTCATTGGTAATTCATCACTGCCAGATGCTTCTAATTCTCTCCTGGTCTCATTATTTTCGTATAAGGATGTCACAACTATTGAGTACATTTTTCCAAAATTACTTTCGATTGTGTCACTTGTGACACTGCTTATATACAACTGCAAGAGGGGTGTGTGTGTGTGTGTGTGTGCTGTTGTTTTAATGTTAGAATCAGATGTTTTAATTTTAGAATCAGATGTAAAGTGGGAGGGTTCATTAAAAGGAAGCCAATAGTCTATGTGTTCCATTACCCTTCGATACACCTTCTTTAAAATTTCCTTAACTGCACTTAAGAAAACAGGTGGGTTTTTTTTTTCCTGTCTAGATTATCCATTTCTAAATATTTCCTCTAAAACCCTTCTCAGGTTTTCCTCTTCTGATATGATTTGGTTTTGATATGGGTATTTTGATAAGACAGTTCAGTATTGTCTTCTTCCTTTGACCCAGTAATATTTCATTTTGTACAACCAGCTGTGTGAAGAGACTAGGGTTCTGTTTTGAGTAAAAAGTACTTTCCTTTAAAGATATTTTATAATTCAGACTCTTTAAGATATTGTTGCCAGTTTCACTTGCAATGGTGTTTTCTTGGAGTGAAATGTTGTTTGATATAAATACACCTTTTGGATTTCTAGATTCTACGTCATTTTAATAAGCATCAAAACAGTCCTGGTAATGACGTCAGCATATTCCTTAAGACTAGCTTGTAATATATGAGTTGTGGGCCCATGTTTTTCTCTGTAATTACGGATTAAATGTGTACGCTGTCATCTTGCTTACAATTTGTTTACAATTTCTGGGCTAACAAATAATTTTTGCCTAGTCTTAGAATCAAGAGTAAGTAGCAAATCTATTCTTTCTGTGGCAAAAGATTTTAACCTATTCAAAATAGCTTTAGTAATAAAGTTAGTTAGCACTTTCTGCACGTGGGTCAGGAGCAGATTGTCTGGTGTCTTGTTTCTTAAGCATAGTTGTCTGATTATCATCAGAGTAAGCTGATTTCAGCTGTACATCTGTTCCTTTTCTCAGAAATAGAAAGCTCTCCCTTTTCTTATCATCTGTTGAGTTCATAACAGGAGATTGTTGACACTCTGCTTTGGGAAATGCATCAGACAATGTCAGGGATGATCTTGCAGAAATAGAATCCTTTGCATTTATGCCAAGCATGACAGCAGAACTAAGATTTTGAGGAATGATGTTTACCATATCATTGGAAATCATAGCAGTGCATGACTTAGGAACTACAAGTGTTGAAATAGACACATTTGCATACTCAGGAATCATTCCAGAATTCGCTCCTAGTTGTCTCTCACCCATGTTATATTTAAGACAAAATGTAGCAAGTGAGAAATTATTCTTGTCCAGTGTTTTCTCACAAATGTCACTTAAGATACCCACAGTGGTATCTAGTATTTGGAACTGAGGTTTTGTTTTTTCCTTTCTTAAGACAGGGTCTTGCTCCGTCACCCAGGCTGGAGTGCAGTGGGGTGATCATGGCTACCTGCAGCCTTGAACTTCTGGGCTCAAGTTGAACTCCTGCTTCAACTTCCTTAGCAGCTAGGACTACAGGCTTACATCACCATGCCTGTCTAATTTAAAAAACTTTTTGTAGAAATGGGGTCTTGTTATGTTGCTCAGGCCAGTCTTGAACTCCTGACCTCAAGCAATCCTCCTGCCTCAGCCTCCCAAATTGTTGGGATTATAGGCATAAGCCACTGTTCCTGGCCTGATTTTTTTTCGATAATCACTTAGAAAAGCGTTTCCACAACATCTTTTAGCCAACCTAGATCAATTTCTCTGTCAGATGCCTTTTTCATACTTGCCTTTAGCAAATATGATGTCTAACACTGTAAATCTGATTTGTAATAATTTCTGACACCACAACATTATGGGTTAAGAAGGAACTTTTTATTTCTTTTTCTTTTCTTTTCTTTTTTTTTTGAGAAAGAGTCTTGCTCTGTCGCCCAGGCTGGAGTGCAGTGGCGCGATCTCCGCTCACTGCAAGCTCTGCCTCCTGGGTTTACGCCATTCTCCTGCCTCAGCCTCCCGAGTAGCTGGGACTACAGGCGCCCGCCACCATGCCCGGTTAATTTTTTGTATTTTTTTCAGTAGAGACGGGGTTTCACCATGTTAGCCAGGATGGTCTTGATCTCCTGACCTCGTGATCCGCCCGCCTCAGCCTCCCAAAGTGCTGGGATTACAGGCGTGAGCCACAGCGCCCAGCTATTTCTTTATCTAACTTAAGTTTGATTCATTGTAAAATCTGCCTAGCCACTTGTGTCACATATATATTTAATTTAGCGACAGTCAATTGACACATTGAGGTGGTCTTTCCTGACTTATTATGATCCACTGAACAACAGAAACATTGATCACCAGAATACGAATCTTTGGTTGATAACCATGATTGACTTAAAGCAGTTGCATCCTGTTGTAAAGGTAAAGTCATTGGAACTGTGAAATTGATATGAGGAAAAAGGAGAGATTTTACTTTGGAAGCAGTAAACATTTCGAAATGTGCTAATATTGACTGAATAATATCTTCAACTACATTTCCTTTGGTTAGTTTATCAATATTGAATCTGTCCTGAAGCATATATGGATTTCTGTCCAGTAGGGTGGAATAAACAGAGGCTTTTCCTCCACTGGTATATTCAGGAAAAGAGATATTTGCTGCAGTGGTGATAGTGTTAAACTTGTTTTCATTTGCATTATGTCTGTCACAGCAGTAGAATACAGTTTTTGAAATATGGTTCTAACAACATTATTTGCAACAATGATTATATCTGCTTCAAGCACTAAAGAATCCATTGTTTTATTCCAGGGATTGAACAGATGTTTGAGCATCTGGCTCACTTCCAGCATGCGGAATGTCATATAAATGGGACTGGAGGAAAGGAAGTACATTTAACTGATCAATTAAATCATTCTTACAAATTCCAATCAAAATATTTCTTATAATGGACACAAATGGGGACTTTTTTTTGGCTCTTTGAGTTCTACTTTAATTTTTTTCAATGTTCTTTTCAATTCCTCTTGCTCAAGAGACTCTGATTTAGTTTCTTCTTTTGGAGGTCTTTTCTCTCTAGCACTTTCTTCCTCTGTATCTGCAGAATCTTCTAGATATGACTCTGGTCCAGTTCCCCCAGGAAGAAAAATTTCTATAGGTTGGCCTATATCTGTAATTTTCAATGTCTCTGTTTTCTGCTTCAGTTTCATTAAACGTATGTGGAGGCATTCCATCCCAAATTAAATTGACTAGCTTCTTAAGCATTTGTTTCTCTTGTAGTGGGTTGTGTACACATTTCCAAATCTGGCAAGCTCACATTTAATTCAGTTTGAATAGCCTTCAAAATTGCACTTGATACCTTCTTTGTATGCATGTGTAAAGTGGACTGCAATAGTTCTTGATGTGTGTTAGCTCAAATGTTGGAACTTTCACTTTCCCCATCTGTCTCATTGCTCTTTTTATTTCCATTGATTATAGTACCCACAGTTATAAAATTTCTATTGGCGAACCCTTACAATTTAGCAAAAACCGTTTCAATGATATATGAACACAACTTTTCATTTATTTGGATACTTTTATTTTGTGCTCCCTCTTTCCCTGTTTCAGGGGCAGTAGTTTTCCCCTTATTGGTAGTTGTCTTTTGACTGTCTTGTTGGATCCCCCTGGACACCATGCTGGAGATTATGTCAGAGCATCAGCTCATTTCCTCAAAAAGTGAAGCAAATGGTAAGCTGTCAGGGTCAATATACTCTGAGATAGCTTTAAATTCTGAACTTGTGAAATTGCTATCTGCCTCAGCACTACACAATCATGTAATGATATATTCTAGAATTGTATGAGAAATGAGCTGAATATCAGGCTGCAATGCAGTGGTTGTTCTTAAATTCTCATCGATCCACTGTCTGTTTGGTTCACTATCAGATGGGGAGAATGTGAATGATCTTCTATGAGCTCCGATTACATGTCATATAAAGTATCTCCAGTTCTGTCTAACACTTGTAATTTGGCACATTTGTGAACTTCCTTTTGCCTAGGAAGGCACTGAAAAGGAGAAAATGTTTGTGGATTAATGTCGACAATTCCATATGAAAATATAGACCTCAGCTTCTGTGAAGGGACTGGAACATTGTTTTTACCTGTCTTTCCACTTAACACCTCACAAATACAATTTACTAATGAACTTCCAATAATGTCATTGTTTAGCTTTGTGGCAACAGCCCAATTCCTTTCTGGTTTTAGCAAAAACTACTGTATCTATATACTTCTTGGGAGGACCTTTCTCCCTAAGATTTAGATTCTTCTCATTGTATTTCAGTTCCTTCTTGATAGCATCCAGAACAATTTTTCCCACTTTAGTTGTGTATACACTAAGTTGAGATTGAAACAAAGATTTCTTGCCAGGTGCAGGCTTCAAACTAGCAGCATGGCTTTCTGGTTTGAAGCATTTTTGCGATTTTGAACAAATACATGACTTTGGCATCTTAAAAATTTTATGAGTTTTTTTTTTTTCTTGTAAATTTGTTTAAGACCCTTGTAGACTCTGGATATTAGACCTTTGCCAGATGCATAGTTTGCAAAAGATTTATCCCATTCTATGGGTTGTCTGTTTACTCGGTTGATAGTTTCTTTTGCTGTGCAAGAAGCTCTTTAGCTTAATTAGATTCCATTTGCCCATTTTTGCTTTTGTTGCAAAATAAAACCCCCAAACAACCTTATAAAAAAGTGGACAAAGGATATGAACACTTTTCAAAAGAAGACATACATGCAGCCCACAATCATATGAAGAAAGGTCAATATCACTGATCATTAGAGAAATGCAAATCAAAACCACGAGGAGATACTATCTCACATCAGTCAGAATGGCTAGTATGAAGCCAAAAAATAACAGATGCTGGTGAGGTTGTGGAGAAAAACGAATGCTTATACACTGTTGGTGGGAGTGTCAACTAGTTCAACCGTTATGGATGATAGTGTGGCGATTCCTCAAAGACCTAAAGACAGAAATTCCACTCGAGCCAGCAATCCCATTACTAGGTATACACCCAAAGGATTATACATCATTTTATTATAAAAACATACATGCACATATGTTCACTGCAGCACTATTCACAAGAGCAAAGACATGGAATCAACCTAAATGCCCATCAATGATAGACTGGATAAAGAAAATGTAGTACATATACACCATGGAATAATATGCAGCCATAAAAAGAAATGAGATCATGTCCTTTGCAAGGACGTGGTTGGAGCTGGAGGCCATTATCCTTAACAAGCTAACACAGGAACAGAAAACCAAATACCACATATTCTCACTTATAAGTGGGAGCTAAATGATGAGAACACATGGGCACATAGAAGGGAACAGACACTGGGGCCTGCTTGAGGGCAGAGGGAGGAGGGAGAGGATCAGGAAAAATAACTAATGAATACTAGGCTTAATACCTGGGTGATGAAATAATCTGTACAACAAACCCCCATGACACAAGTTTACCTAGGTAACAAGCCTGCACATGTACCCCTGAACTTAATATGAAAGTTAAAAAATAAAAATGGAATTACATTTTCAAAAATTCTGTGAGTAATTTTATCATTAATATGAACTAAAGGCTCACTTTCTTCAGACTAACCAGGGATGTTTTGCAGGGTCTATACTAAGTACAGCTAAAAATTTCATCTTCTTTTTACTCTTTAATCATATTTCTAATAGCTCTTTATTTGGCACACCAGCATTATCTAGAGAAGTTTGGTGTACTAGTGGAGAAAATGAAATATTTGGTGGCATTAATGATGTGACTAGAAGCCATGTGTAATGTTTTTAATACAGCATCTGCTATTCCTGAGCTACTGCATGGATTTCTACTGCATGCAGAGAACTTGTGGTTCACACATTCTTAATGTGACAGACATTGTGGTTTTCCTAAGGTAAGAAGTAAAGCTTCTTGACCATTTTTATTGACTAAATGACCATGGGACACAGAAGATATGTCTTTGAGCACTTCTGCTAAAATAGTTGTAATTATGTTTTTGGAGACTTTTTGTATTTGATGTTTTGCATCATGGCTAAAAATCCAAATGTCTTTGTTCAAACAGGACTTGTCCATGAAAAGGTTTTTAATTATTAAAAACTGGGAGGTCAGTCTTTAACCCCCAATCACAAAATGCTACTTTGCCTTGACAAGCAGGCTTTGTAGTTGAGTTGGTGTTTCTTTTGTATTTAAGACCAGTATTTCCCCTTGTTGACCAGTGATCAGGAACCTGTTCTCGTAATTTTGCTTTTTCATCCTTGATAGGTGAAATCAGTAGATTTTCCACAACTTTGTTTATTCTTCATTATTGTCTTTGGAATAAAAGACAAAGCCAGGAACATTAACAAGTTGATGATCCCCTAGATATGTTGTTCATATTCAGGGGACCATGAACTACTCTAGTGCCAGAGAGTCTGTTCTCTTCTTCAGTGCTAAAAGGACTGCTCATTCTGGAGCATCTACTCTTTTGCACATTGTTTTCATTGGTTTCTGATGTAAGTGAGTCAAGATATTGACTGCTGACAAGCAGCTGAAAGATGACCACTGTTTCTTTAGTTGCAATAAGGCTTTGATTATTACCTCTGATTTAAATATAACCTAGTATAGTGTCGATTGCTTCCTCTGTATAATGAACCAGAGAGAACTGGGACAAAATATTTGACACTCAATTTTGTATTTCTTCTTTGGCAATCAAATTGGCTGTATCAGGTTCAGTGCTAGATTTTCTTTTGCTGGCTCTTTGAAGGAACATACCTGTTGGATCTTTCATATGTTGCTGATAAGCAGGTTCCCATTAAAAACTCAGGAAACGAAGAGGACCAGTGCCCAATATGGCTGAATAGGAACAGCTCCAGACTCCAGCTCCCAGCGTGAGTGACACAGAAGATGGGTGATTTCTGCATTTTCAACTGAGGTACCGGGTTCATCTCACTGGGGAGTGCTGGACAATCGGTGCTGGTCAGCTGGTGCAGCCCAACCAGCAAGAGCTGAAGCAGGGCGAGGCATTGCCTCACCTGGGAAGCACAAGGGGGAAGGGAATCCCTTTTCCTAGCCAAGGGAAACTGAGACACACAACACCTGGAAAATCGGGTAACTCCCACCCTAATACTGCGCTTTACCAAGGGTCTTAGCAACGGCACACCAGGGGATTATATCCCACACCTGGCCTGGAGGGTCCCATGCCCACGGAGCCTCCCTCATTGGTAGCACAGCAGTCTGAGATATAACTGCAAAGTGGCAGTGAGGCTGGGGGAGGGGCGCCCACCATTGGTGAGGCTTAAGTGGGTAAACAAAGCCACCAGGAAGCTCGAATTGGGTGGAGCCCACTGTAGCTCAAGGAGGCTGGCCTGCCTCTGTAGACTCCTCCTCTGGGGACAGGGCATAGCTAAACAAAAAGCAGCAGAAACCTCGGCAGAGGTAAATGCCTCTGTCTGATAGCTTTGAAGAGAGCAGTGGATCTCCCAGCATGGAGGTTGAGATCTGAGAACGGATAGACTGCCTGCTCAAGTGGGTCCCTGACCCCTGAGTAGCCTAACTGGGAGACATCCCCCACTAGGTGCAGACTGACACCTCACACCTCACACAGCGGGGTACACCCCTGAGACGAAGCTTCCAGAGCAAGAATCAGACAGCAACACTCGCTGTGCAGCAGTATTCTATCTTCTGCAGCCTCCACTGCGTATATACCAGCAAACAGGGTCTAGAGTGGACCTCAAGCAAACTCCAACAGACCTACAGCTGAGGGTCCCGACTGTTAGAAGGAAAACTAACAAACATAAAGGACACCCACACCAAAACCCCATCAGTACGTCACCATCATCAAAGACCAAAGGCAGATAAAACCACAAAGATGGGGAAACAGCAGTGCAGAGAAGATGGAAATTCAAAAAATCAGAGCGCATCTCCCCCTCCAAAGGAACGCAGCTGATTGCCAGCAATGGAACAAAGTTGGACACAGAATGACTTTGACAAGTTGAGAGAAGAAGGCTTCAGTCGATCAAACTTCTCAGAGCTAAAAGAGGAACTATGTAACCAGCTCAGAGAAACTATAAACCTTGAAAAAAGAATGGATGAATGGATAACTAGAATAATCAGTGCAGGGAAGACCTTAAAAGAGCTGATAGAGATGAAAACCATAACACGAGAAATACGTGACAAATGCACAAGCTTCAGTAACCGACTCGATCAACTGGCAGAAAGAGTATCAGTGATTGAAGATCAAATGAATGAAATGAAGCGAGAAGAGAAGTGTGGAGAAAAAAGAGTAAAAAGAAATGAACAAAGCCTCCAAGAAGTATGGGATTATGTGAAAAGACCAAATCTATGTCTGATTGGTGTGCCTGAAAGTGACAGGGAAAATGGAATCAAGTTGGAAAACACTCTGCAGGATAACATCCAGGAGAACTTCCCCAACCTAGTAAGGCAGGCCAACATCCAAAATCAGGAAATACAGAGAACGCCACAATGATACTCCTCAAGAAGAGCCACAAAGATACTCCTCGAGAAGAATCTGACAACATAATTGTCAGATTCACCAAAGTTGAAATGAAGGAAAAAATGTTAAGGGCAGCCAGAGAGAAAGGTCAGGTTACACACAAAGGGAAGCCCATCAGACTAACAGCACATCTCTCGACAGAAACTCTACAAGCCAGAAGAGAGTGGGGGCTAATATTCAACATTCTGAAAGAAAAGAATTTTCAACCCAGAATTTCATATCCAGCCAAACTAAGTTTCATAAGTGAAGGAGAAATAAAATCCTTTACA